AAACCGTACTAAGGATTCAGGACGGGGTGCCAGGCACATGTCTTTGTGTTATGGCCCAGGCAGGCAGGATAGGCAGGCCTCCCCACTTTCATAACTAGGTGGTTTACTTGTGACTGTATTAGAGGTCTATAATACTTTAACTTCCTCGACACAGAGCTTGCAGAGACACCAAGTATGAGCGCATGAGGTCTGTGCGATTGCCAACTCACTAGTGCTTGCGTCAAGTGCCCCCCTCGAGCATACACCGAGGGCAGGCTTCTGGAGAACGCAGAATGTTTTTATCAACTACCACCTAACAGACACCGAATCCATTGAGGAAGGTCTCTTTAGGTTGGGTCCCGTCGAGGTTTGCTGACCCAGCCCGAACGACCACAAGGGTCCCTGCGCATAGGCAATAAGTCAGTCTCGGCATTTTATGCGGACCGATTTCTCTACCGTCAGCACTCCCCTGGAAGCTCCCAGGTCCCGCTTTGCGGCCTATGCCTTCATGCAGAACTATTTCAGTCTTTACTTCGAAAGCATGCTACCCCCAGAATTGGGTTGGGGTCTAGCTTTCTAAGGCACACCGAACCCTGTCACCGTAGCAGCATTTTGGCTTCTTGCTCCGGGGATAGCACAGGCAAGGTAAGACACCACCCATTTTGGGCCTTAACCAGGGTGTTGAGTGATTATGAAATGGTAAATGCTTTATATAACATGCTTTGAAAGGAAATAGACAATTTATTACTACCATGAGAGAATTGATGAATGAAATAACTTTGATGTATTTTGTCTGTTTACTTGTTTAGTGGCTCCAATTAAAGCTTTGTGCAGTGAGAGGTGTGAAGATTGGAAGGAAAAGTTTGAATCTGTTGGTCTTAAGTGTAAAGAATTAACTGGTGATACTGAATTAGAAGATTATTTTGAGCTACAAGACACAAATATCATTATGACAACGCCGGTAAATATGTATATTTTGTTACCCAGCTTACTTCTCAGTGAATGACAATTTAGTTGTGTCAAATCCTCAGGGACGAAGCTACGTCACCGAACGTTCTATGTTGCTAAAACCTAATATGTATTTCTGCAGTGGAACACCCTTTGAAGAGCTTGTGAAAAAGTCAAGGAAACAGCACAAACTCAACTTTGGATTAATTCTGAGCAACAAAATTTATATATAATGCACATGTAGGGGGAATATAGTTACACTATTTAGGAGTGTCTCAACAACTGTCCTATAGTACAGTTTTCTTAGAGTTTTCGACCGTTGTTTTCACCATGATGGTTGCCAGGTGATGAAAATGCTTGGATGTAAATATATCCGAGCATTACAGCATGTGACAGATTGAGGGGGATATTAAGAAATTAGTTGCGTAATAATTGACTTTTACAATGAAGAAACAGAAATGGTCACAAAAATATGCACATTTTATTACAATATTAATTACATACCACCCGAATTTACGAGATTAAAAATATTAGAATCTGTTGTTCAAGTCAAAATCTTCATCATTATTTCCACTGACGAATGTGCTGGATCGTACGCAAACTCTCGATGAAAAGCACTTTCCGCCATAACGTACCTTATTTGCAAATGGTTGCTGAGATGTCATTGAGAATGAGAGAGCATTGAAACATTAGCTCCACAAATAGTGTTTAAATTTTCTACCTTCAATGCATCTGCTGTTCCAAATACTATAGCTACATAATTAAATCAGAGGACTCATCAGACTCATGATCGGTAGACCCAAGTTCAAATCCTACCTTAGACTGAACATCAAAAAGGTCGACCCCTACCCTGGATGAGTGTGCCACAGACTCAATGGTAAGGCCAATTCCACTGGCCGAGATTCATTCACTAACGAATGCGACATTGGGGGAACCTTGGTTAAGGTCCTCAGGTGCTTGTGTTCGACCGAGCCTGGTTGACTCAAAGATAGCGCATTAAATTGCCATTTGATAGGAAGATGGCCGCATGGCCCTGTCATGTATTCCCAAACATGAATATGACTTCTGTGGCAAAAATGTGTCAACACTAGCACTTGCAATTTGCACATACAAAAAAAAAGTCGAGAGAGACAACAGTGACATTCATTGGTTTTTTTCATATTCAGTATCATCAGCA